CGTGTCATCCTTGCGCATGGGTCATCCTAATCTCAGCGCGACTAGTTTCAACAATGCGATTTCAAAGATCGCACGGCCGAAATCGGCCGCGTCCAACTGCCCTCACGTTGTAGGCTGCTCCAAACGTAGCTGGCCTAGTAACGTCTCGTCGGGTTCGATCCCAACATTTGTTGGGTGGAAGTCGAATGCAGTCCTACTGGGCTAGCTCCTTTCACGGCAGTGATAGGAGTAGCTTTTCTATAAGAAGAGTTTGACCCTAGTCATCCCTCCTACCTGTGGCCTTACAAGCCCTGCCTGCCTGAGGCCTTGCAGGCCCCACCTGCTTGAGGCCTAACATGCCTCACTTGCTGGCCCAGCCCCATCGGTTGGCCACGTGACCACGGCTTGATTGGTCACCTACTGGGTAGGCCTTGGCATCGGCCTGTCCCCACCCTTTTTCGTGGCCGGCTATCTATCGATAGCCTGAACGATCACCCATATCCAGCATGACCCTCCGTTTAGCCTACTTAGGCTTTGAATCGCGCGGCTTAGCAACCATGCGACATTAATTTAGGTAGAATAGGTCTAGCTTCAAAAAAGTTCAAACTAAGGTTCAAAAAAGTTATAGTCTCATAGTTATATTTAGCCGCAGGTGTCCGAACTAAGGTTCAAAAAAGTTGTAGTCTCACAGTTATATTTAGCCTCAATAAACTTTTGCAAACGTCAATCTCATCAAGTCCTTCAATTCGAAAAAAAAAAAAAAAGTGAAAAAAAAAATCGAATAGTATCTGACGTTCAAACCCCCCAGCAAATACCCTTATCAGGTTATTTGCCCCGACAACATGACTTGAACGTCACTTCATCTGTTGTGGAGCTGTAGACATTGGATGTGTTGAACGTGGCACTAGTTGTAGTATGAGGAGAAGAAGCCGGACTTGTTCAAATCTCAAGCGAGATCAGATTATCGACGTCAGATGCACTATCGTGCACCAACTGTCAACGTGTGTTTCGTCCTCTGTTACTCGATTTTGAAGAAGCCAAGTCTGTGGGAGTCTGGACATGCTGAAGTATCAGGTTCAGTAATTCTCTGATGTAGTTCATTTCTCTAATCATCGTTTAGATATATTGGAATTGGTGGCAAAGAGGTCAATGGCGACTGCCTGCGCATGGTATTTACAACTGTTTTTTTAATGAAGGAACAGGGAATTCATAAGAACGCCTCTACGAATCTAATTACTGACTCCAACACTTCCTTGCGTATCTCGTGAGTGGTCGGCGTCCACTCAAAATGATTACCACGGGCTAACACTTTCGCTTCAAAGCGATTCGATCCTTGAGCGTACTCCATTTAGGCTTTCTGGTTACAAGGTTTATTCCACTATGTTGATGACACTTTTTTGAAGTTGCTTCAGTTTGGTGATCTTCTTGGACAGGACATGTATACGAGTATCTAATGCTCATGCAAGCTTTACTACGTTTTTTTTTTTCCCGACTGCTAAGTACGTTGACTTGAGCACACGAATTTGGTGATAGGTCTTTGGTCTTCACCACCAAATGCCAATGTCTTGAAACCCAGACGGAACAGGAACAACGCTTTCTTTGTGGTGATCCTATACTAGAGGAGCCTGTGGGATGAAAAGAAAGTGAGGAAAGAAAAGAAAGAAAGGAGAGAGGATTATGAGACAAACCCGACTTGGTGTCTTCATGCTTTCCACATGAGGATTCACTGTTGGAGAAAATGTAAAAAAAAAACAAGGGGATTGTGTGACCTTATTTTCTCCCTTTCTCCCCTTCCCTAAGATTTGTCAGCCATCCTAATTGTTTACTTCTAAATTGACAAACTCCTTGATTGGGTGTCATTTAATATGATCATAATCTCATTCCGACTTCATAAAAACGGTAGAGAAATCTCAAATCACTAAGGAGTAATTGTCGAGCTGTGTGTACGACTCCTTGAAAAGCTAAGATGAGTTCAGTTTTAATTGACGAAACGCCGAGATTTAGATTTGATCTGGTGTTGTAGAATCTTTGAGACATTAGCAGAGTCACAACCTTTCGGATTCTGAGTGATCATCTATAGCATTCTAACGAGAAAGAAAATACTCGATCCATATGGAAATAAGGCATTGTTTCGCACAGATGTTGCATAATGACTAATGAGTAAAAGGGGAACCATTATAAGAACAATGGTCTATTTCATTGTCAAGATTCTTCTTAAACCACCACTACCTCCAATCCTATTTTTACCGACCCTGAATTTCACTGCACATCAAGTTTTGTCGAGCCGGTGTGCCATTGTATATTGCTTTCTACATGCAAAAAAAGAAAAAGAAAAAGAAAAAAAAGCTTCACTAAAGCTGTGAGAGTCGTCAGGTATATTCTATGAGGTGTTAGTGAGATTGTGCCCTCAGTAAGGGCAGACGATTAAGATAAACAAGAAGTATCCCTCACGTCGTGATCATGATCATGGTCGCCCGTCGGGTACAGGATGCTACAGTACTACTTTGAGTATGACGTGAGCTTGCCAGTTTGTTCCTCCGTGTGGAATCCACTCCTCTCTGGCTGGGCATCAAAAGTAAGGAAAAAAAAAAAAAAAAAAAAAAACATCATGCGCGCTCCACACTTACTGGCCAGATACATTCTATGAGGCTCTAGTGAGACTGTGCCCTCAGTGAGGGCGTCTGCCCGATGACAACTTGTGAAAAACAAAAAAAACGAAAAAACACCCCTTACCTATGCTTGTCGTAAGATACAGGACGCCACAGTAATACTGTGAGTGTGAGGTGAGCTTCGCAGTTTGTTTCCACGCGTGGAATCCGCCTTGCCTCTCTGGCAGGTCACCAATAAACAAGGAACGAAAAAAAAAAAAAAAAAAAACGAAAACAAACATAAGCACGTTCTTCACGTACTCGCCGGATACATTCCTCAAAGTATTGGTCTCAATTCCACCTCGGTGAGGGCCTTCCCCGACGTCTCTGGATTCAAACTGCTTTGTTTTTGAACTTTTTTTTGTTTTTATTTTTCAAAGTGGACCCCCAATGTTTCATTCGTTCTTTTTTTTTCTTTGCTCTACCCGACCCTTCCCCAGACCCCCAAAAAATGTAGTGTGACGTATATTACCGTTTTTCCCAACACTGAGAAAGGTAGTGTTGGTTTAACGCTGGGTAATACCCGGTACGCATATGTATTCCAGCGTACGCATACGAACCCAAAATCGTGCGTACGCGGATGTAAAAAAAAAATAGAAAAAATCTGAAACAAAAGTATGTTGTGCAGAATAATGATACAAATAACTTTTGCCTGGGTGTCGATTGCTTGACTGAAAGATTGATACATTCATCAATCGATCAATCAACCAAACAACCAAGCAATCAACCAACCAACCAACCAACCAACCAATCAATCAATCAATCAACCAATCAATCAATCAATCAATCAATCAACCATTCACTCACTCACTCACCCCCTACGTACTCGATCAATAGCTGCCGTAGCCATTTCTTCCCCCTCTGAATCGGCCCAGGTTTTGTCCTGGGGGTCCCTGCTGCGAGCACCGGTGGCACCACCTGTCCGTGGACACATACGTCACCCCAATCGGCCCAAAATCGGTTGTCCGGGATCTTCGACAACTTGGGTCCTGTACCTCCGACCCAATCGTCCAGCCCAAGCATCCGGTGATTGGACAGCTAGTAACGAAGCTAAAATGTTTATAAAAAGTTGATGAGTGCGCTTGTGCGAAAATGTTTAAAAGAGGTTGAGAACTGGAGAATGCTAATGAACATTGTTGCTTGTCTGTCGATTGAGAGGCCTAAACCCCAAACCCTAAATCTTAGGCCCAAGCACCTAAAGGCTAAAAAGGTTCAAAGCATTAACTGGAGAGTACTATGGAGCACTGTTATCGATCTTCCAGCAGGTGACGCTCCTCAGCAATATATGGAGCCTCCCATGGGGTGGTTGCGGTGCTTGCATTTATCAACACCCCTAGCATCCAAAAGGGACCTTTTTTTTCATAAAAGAAAAAAACAAAGAAGGGGTAACTAGGGCGCAGTCACAATTTCTGTTTAAAATCCAATTCAGGCATCCCTCCAATACAGCACACCCCCACCAGACCCTAAAGCTTGGTTGTATACATTCACCATTGTCCACGCTTTGGCACACAACATTCACGAAATCATGCCTGAAGCTAGGCTGGTCCCCGGGCCGCCCAGCGCCCTGGTCATCGCCCCGGGGGGAGGGGCGGACCGCCTGGCCAGTTGTCCCGCCCGGTTGGCCACAGTGCAACCCTGGCGCATTGAAGGAGGGGGAGGTTCGATTTTTTTCAGCACAGGAGGCCTTTTTTCCCCCATAGAGGGTCGTCGAGGCCGGAAACAACAACAACAAAAAACAGGTCCAGTAGACCCGATTTCCCCGATTTGAAATTGGGACAAATCTGGGTCCTCGATCTCAAAGATCGACGGCCCAGATGGGCCGCGATTTAAACTCACTGAGGGCGGGAAATGCCAGCCCCCATTCGCTCCCCCACACGACCGCCCTCCCCCTGAAGTCCCCCTGTTCCCTCCCCCTCACGACGTCTCCCTCCGCCTATCACCATTTGCCCACTCCGACACCCCCCGCCAACGGCCCACGCTTTGTTGCCCGCCAGCACCCGCCAACGCCCACCATAGCGCATGACCCCGCTGTCACCCGCCAATGGCAGCCTTCGCGGGTCCCCACCAGCACCAAGGTAAGCGAGTTAGTTGCCGGGGGGGGGGGGGGGGGGGGAGAGGGAGAGACAGACAGAGAGAGAGAGAGAGAGAGAGAGAGAGAGAGAGAGAGAGAGAGAGAGAGAGAGAGAGAAAGAGAAAGAGAGAGAACAACTTCTTCTTCTTCTTCTTCTTCGCCCCCATTTCGAGCACCCCTGCCCGCCATCCTGCACCAGCCATCTTCTTCTTCTTCTTCTTCAACCCCATTTTGAGCACCACTGCCCAACATCCTCCACCAGCCGTCTTCTTCTTCTTCTTCTTCTTCTTCTTCTTCAACCCCATTTTGAGCACCACTGCCCAACATCCTCCACCAGCCGTCTTCTTCTTCTTCTTCTTCTTCTTCTTCTTCTTCTTCTTCTTCACTTCTTCTTCTTCTTCTTCTTCTTCTTCTTCTTCTTCTTGGCCACCATCTCGTGGCCCTCTGCCCACCATCCTCCACCACCCTTCTTCTTCTTCTTCTTTCGCTGCTTCTGCTTCTTCTTCTTCGCCCACGTTTCATGCCCCCCTGCGCACCATCCTCCAACCCGTCTTTTTCTTCTTCTTCTTGGTCACCGTTTCATGCCCCCCTGCCTGCCATCCCCGACCACCATATCCGAATTTTTTTATTTTTTTGCAGTCTTCTGCACGCGTGGGGCCGCGTTTCCCACCTTCCACCACAGCAGCCATTTCCCCCAACTTTGCAAAGGGTGACCCCTGCCCGCCATCTCCCATCACCCATCTTCTTCTTCTTCTTCTTCTTCTTCTTCTTCTCCTCGCCCACCCTTTCTGACCCCCTGCCCGCCATCCTCCACCACCCTGCCCGCCATCGTCTCTCACCCCCTGCCTCCTGCCCACCCACACTTTCTGACCCCCTGGCTGCCATCTTCTTCTTCTTCTTGTCGCCATAATTTCTCACCTCTTGGATGCCATCCTCCATCACCAAACATCATCTTCTTTTTCTTCTTCTTCTTCTTCTTCTTCTTCTTCTTCTTCTTCTTCTTCTTCTTCTTCTTCTTCTCCTTTTCTTCTTCTTCTTCCTCCTCCTCCCCTCTTCTTGTTCTTGTTCTTCCTCACCCTGTCAAACAGAGGGCACCACCATATCCCCGATTCAGACAGTCATCTGAATTCGAGGGATGCGACCCCAATCGCGAATGAGGTCACTGTGTGTTTGTGGTTGTGTGTGTGTGGGTGTGGGTGTGGGTGAGAGAGAGAGAGAGAGAGAGTTCTGTAATCGTTCTTGGATAAATGTGGACATGTGCTTTCTCTCCAGGTTCGTTTTCTTCTTTTTTTCTTTCGGTTTTGTCATCCTTGCACTCTTCTTCTTCTTCTTCTTCTTCTTCTTCTTCTTCTTCTTCTTCTTCTTCCTCCTCCTCCTCCTCCTCCTCCTCCTCCTCTTCTTCTTCCTCCTCCTCCTCCTCCTCTTCTTCGTCTTCTTCGTCTTCTTCTTCTTCCACATACACACCTGCAATAAGTCTCTGACATACCAGCAAGACAGCCTAAATGCTGTCTCTTATACACATCTAGATGTGTATAAGAAGCCCCCCCTGATGAGTTTTTGGGCCGCCTGGATTTGCCGGGTGGGACCCATCGGCCCCACCCGGCCGAGGGGCAGCCCAGCCTAGGCCTGTAGTGCATTTTCAAACTGAAACCGTGACTACACCCTACGTAGTTTTCCCGAAAAGGAAAGGTTCCAATTCGCAACCATAAACTCACGTTTCCTCAGCCTGACTTTTTCCTCAACTGCTAATAACAAAAATGCTGCCCGTCAAGGTGGCGGTTGCACCCAGACTAGCTCCTCCACATATGATCCCTCCTTTCCTGCGCTACCGTCTCCTGCCACTAGCGTGTCACAAGAGTTTGCGCACGTGTAAACGGCTAGGGTGCTGAAATCCAGCGCATTCTCATCACTGCTATCCACTTTGAGAAAGTAAAGAATTTGTGGCAGCACCTGAAACTCAAAAATCCGGGGGCTCCTGCATCTTCCGCATGCAGCGATTCTGGAAGGCGTTGGGCGGTACGACAACTGGGGCCAAAGGGGTTTTGCTCTCTCGGCGTAGCAATACCTCAGACACTGCTGAGGAGCGCGTGCCACCCTGGATTCGAATTCTGCCCATTGCTTCTGCCCCTCATGCAGGGAAGCCACACCTTCTTCAGTCTCTCTTAACTCCTCTGTGGGGTAATCCGCATCCCCTTCCTTAAGTCGCCGCTCATAGTCTGCAAGCAACGCAGCAATCCTATCCCTCGTCGTGGAGCATTGTGTGTTTCCGTCATCTTTGCCGTTTGCTGTGTCGTTGAGGACATCTCCATCCGCCGACTCCAGTGGCTCTGGTTCAACCTCCAAAGCATACTCTGGCCACACTCTCGGATTCACAGGTTTGACACGTGCCACTGCTCCTCTCTTCCATGGTGCCATCACGTGCGCTGAAGTGATAGAGTCGGTGGCTCTTCCAGATGCTCCCGGCTGCTGCGACTCTTTCGCCTGCGCCTGGAAGTGGCGACACTCAGGTGCATGACCCCCCTTCCAGTGATCAACTTGATGGCACCTCGAGCAGTAGTGTGAACGCCGGCAACCCCCACACCTCTTTTCAGCCTTCCATGTAGCACACCATTCACATAAGGGTGGTGTTGCTAGGGCAGGCAGCGACACAGGTTCCTCATCAGCAGGTTTGGGGGCATCGTACGGATAAAATTGATTGGCTCTTGGAAGCTGGCACCTGAACGCCCTCACACTCTTCTTCTTTGGGAGGCAGGGCGAAGCTGAGGAAGCTGCACTTCCTCCTCCTTCTCCACTCCTTTCTTCCTGCACCGTTTCGTCCTTGTTCTGCATCCGAGAGTGTTCCAGCAAGCATTGAAGATTTCGGCATGCAAAGACGTACACAGAGCGATGGAAGGCAGATGCCACGGAGTCCACAGGAGCATACACTTGGAGCAAAAAATCCAGTGGTTTTCCACACACTTGACAGCATATGCAGTCTCCGCTTGGCATATTTACTGGGTCGAGCCACACCGGAGCACCGCCTACCTTGCTGGGGAAGCGAACGGGGGCAAAATCATCAGGATCTACCGGTTCCACACAATGTCCTAGCAAAACCTCCTCTTCCTCTTCATCGTCCTCCTCCTCCTCATCTCCATTTTCTCTCTCTCGCAAGCCCCCAGCCTGATCTGGAGGCAAGTCAAGGCCTGAAGATGTCATCGCAACCGTGAAAGCAACAACACACCAAGAGCGACTAGTGCCAGAGAACTGGCAGTGGCTGCAGCAGACCTCTCACCCGATAGAATCTCTGCACAGCCAGCCAGCCAGGGCATGAATGAAGTCACGCAGCTGCCTCGAGACAAGATGCAAAAAACATACACACAGATCAGATTCAAAAAATATTGTCCCCAACAATTACTTACACGTTTTACTTACACGTTTTACTCGCATGTTTTACTCGCATGTTTTACTTGCATGTTTTACTTGCATGTTTTACTTGCATGTTCTACTCCCTGAAGGCCGTTGGACAAGTACAGCCGGTTTATGGCCTTGAATGGCCAGACAAGGCCATCGCACCTAATGCCGCTGCTACTCTACAACCATGACCAGATGATCAGCACAACTGTGAACTGCAATAAAGAAGGCTGCTTGCTGATGGCTTACGTACCAATTAGGAGTCGAGCAAGGAGGAAAGGAAGGGGATGAAGGAACAAGAAAAAAGAAAGGACTTAACCCACCACTGCCACCTTTCACAGGCAAAACCATCCCTACCTTTCTCAGGGAACCTCGAAACAACTATGTATCACAAACCGCATTCTTCGGGTGAACACTCCTACCGGACCAAAAAATAAGGCTGCGCCAGCCAAAAAAACACAGAAAAAAAGGGGTAACCTCAGTAGAGTCACAAAAACGAGTTATAATTGCACTAGTATGGGGCAAGATACAGTTTGCAATTGCACTCGGCCAGAAAGCTGGGTTGTATACGTCGCCCGAACTGCAATTCGAACCTGTATCTTGGCCCCTAGTGCAATTACAACTCATTTTTGTGACCCCCGCGTAGTTTCTTTCCCCAAAGAAAAAAGACATTGTGCTGGCGCAACGGCAAAGCTTGGCATGCACGTCCTCTCTGCCTCGACGACGAAAAGAGGTCAGTAGGTCGTGGTGGTCTAACAGGACTTAAGGAGGAGAGAAAAGAGGACCCAAGGTAGCTGGCTTGGAGATAGATTACAGAGAGAATGTGGCAAGCAAGAAGAGAGCATACTTTTTTCCGGTCCATTTTTTTGGGCACACAAGTCACATTCAGTATCGCATTTCGCTGCGCTCTTCAACGTTGGGAGCGCCAAGCTCTACCTTTCATTCAGTAAGAGTTCAGTACGGAGCTGTCGGCATTTCGTTTGCCCGGAGTTCACAGTAAAGGATCAATAGGCCATGCTCAAGCAGTTCGTATACATCTATACTCGATTTCGCCACCAGTACCTCCGAGCCTATTTTCGACAAGTCGTGGCCAGCACCCGAACTTTTAGGAGGCCCAGCCTGCCGTTGATAAATCTGATCGGCGGCCGTCGTTTCATTTCGGCCTCCTGAAAGATCGGCGGCCGTCGTTTCATTTCGAACCGTCAAAGGTTCTGGTGCAGGACAGAAGCACCTACCGTCTTCACCCGAATACAACATACCCTCATATGAATGTGTACACAAGCTACCTTTCCGGCCCGATAACGTCGTAATAATGGTACGTTGTGGTGTTCGAGGCAAGACGGTAGGGAGCGTAGTCCTTGTGCTCTGTCAGTAAGATTTCGGTAAAGAACAAAATTAAACACAGACAGACACAGGAGCATGCAAGAGATGGTTCGCTCTCTGTTCCCGCGCTAATTGACCATTAAACTGTGTGAAACATATTTCGTGCTTTGGGAGCGCGAGCATCGCGCTTGTTGGACCCGACCCAGAGTTAAACAGAGTTAACAGGATGCCATAAAACATCAGTGGCGCCTGCCTGACCCGGTGTCAATGCCCGCTTGATGCCCTGAGCTAGCATCAACCAGAGTTAACAGGGTTAGCAGAGTTAGCATAGCAGAGTTGGCAGAGTTAACAGAGTTAACAGCATGCCATGCACAAGAGGTAATGCTGAGTTAACTGCCCGAAAATTTGCATCAACAGAGCACAACAATAGCGCCGGTGCAACTTGACCCACAGTCAACACCATCCCATGAACGAGCCAATAACGATTCCCCACCACCTTACTCATCATGCCCAGCCCCTATGAAATATACAAGCGAAGCCAGTGTGGCTACCCCCCGCACCTATGGAAATATCAATGAGATATTCGGCGTCTACGTAGGTATCCATCGACAGATCTCATGGTCCGTAACTCTCTCTCTCTCTCTCTCTCTCTCTCTCTCTCTCTCTCTCTCTCTCTCTCTCTCTCT